CAGTATAAAGTAAATAAAAAAACTAAGAGCTAAGGTAAAACTTACTCCGCTTTTCAAAAACACGCGGCCGAACTCTTCATTTCAAAAGTAACACACAAAACGGATCGAAATCCACCAATCACAAACCACGAACCATGCCCTTTTTTTTCCTAAAAGGTCTGCTATTAAGATGTGAAGGCGAGAAAGAGCCGACTCTTCAGAGCTTGATTGACGTCGCAGAAAAACCCAAAATCAAAGACGTTTTTGACATCGCAGGTCGCGTGTTATGCGAAACAGCTGTAAACGAAAATGTAACTTTGTTTTGCCTTTTGCTATAAGCAAGCGTAAGCCCGTCTAAGATATCATGTTGAACACTTTTTTATGTTTTTAGAGACAATGCAGTCAATTGGCACACGTTTGCAATTACTTAGCTCTTTACAATGCCTCGAGGATTGTATTTTATGATAAAAGGCAAGTAGTTTTTGAAAGAAATCGCGTCGCTTGTTCAGCGACCTTTTTTATGAATAATAGAGCGTCGGCGTGCTAATGTAGATTGTCTGAATAATAAAGACTTGCGCTTGTAAACATTCTTCACTTTGAAGGTGTTATCGAAATCGTTAACAGCTCCTCGAATGAATCAAAGTTCTGAATTCAGTCACTAACATGCTTAGTGCAATTACGTATGTTATGACGCTACTGATGTGCTTTTCTGCAGGTGAGAAAAGTCGGTCCACACATGCTAGTTTTACTTAAAATGACCAATAGAAATAATTCGTTTTCATTTTTATCCGAAAAAATTATACATGAAAGACTTTGAGATTATCATTACGTTCCATAACTCGCATCTAAGGGTAAGATTGGTGTGATAAGTGATTCAGATACATATATATCCTAAAAGGCACCGGAACTTGGATTGAAAACAAAGTAACTCTTTTCCGTAATCCAGTCTAACGGCCGTTAATATTAGAGCCTACGGCAGACGCGCGTTATACGACAAATTAACACTTATTTTGGAGTCTGCAGTTCTATAACTTTGTTCTATAAACATATCTCCAGGCCATGTGCACCTTTGTGATAACAGGTGCTCTATTAAAAGGCCACTTAAAGGTATAATTTAGATAAATTTGCTACGTACTCCACAATGCAAGCGTTATTTGTTGACAAATCCCAGTCACATGACAAAATGACGTCGAAAAAGTACCCAACTGAATTCAGCCGGTGTCAAACTTTTCTGATTTGACAGCCCTTTCCCCTCTTGTCTCTCCTTTATTTCTTATGTTCTTCTACAATTCTAAACGGTTACCGGCTTAGTTGTGCTGAGTAGGTCCACTTACATCAGTTTTCCCAGGCGGAAGGAGACATTTTGTTTCAAATTTCTCTCTAGTTTGTGTTAAAGTTAACCATATTTTGAGCAACCCTACTCAGACGTTTTAGCGAGAAGTTAAGAACTTCGGTGTTGAGAAATCTGTAGTAAAGTTAAAATACCAGCAAAAGACTTCCGATATGAAAAAAGGCTAAAAACGACGTTTTACTTACATAAGAGTTTTGTTGTTCTGTAATGATTCCTTACATGTAAAAAAGACAAGCTGATTGGATAGCTGGTTTAAGCAAGCAAAGATGCAGTTACACAGTTAGTATTTCTTGCCCTGGTCTTGAAAGCTAGTGTCCCTGAAACATGAAGGGTCGATAAAGGGTTTCACCACTGTCAAGATAGTACAAGGATAATCATATTATACAATACTAAGTGTCGTTGTTTTTCTTTTCTAGATTATGCGTTCAGCCTTCGTTGTGAAAGGTGTTTCTCCGAGGTTTCATGGCAGGATTGTAACCAGCAGATCAAGTATGACGAGTGCAATACTGACATGACGATTTGTATGAAGGTACATCAAATGTTCCTAATGAACAGCGGTCGGCGGCTGCAAAGGTTTATAAAAGCCTGTTATTTCCCTGAAATGTGTGCAACAGAAGAGTGCAGGGAGACTGCACGACACGGGGTAAACGCTTCGTGGTGTGAGGTGCAATGCTGTGACCAGACGGATTTTTGTAATGAAGGTGTAACGCCATCATGGGAGAAAGCTTATGGGGGTGTGTTTGGAAATGATACTACAATCCGTAAGCCGTCACGACTTCGTTTCCTCATTATTGCTGTAATATTTCTGTTTGTACTTTGGAAGTAGAGATTTCCAACTGTCATATAAAACACACGCTTACCTCGCGGTGATGTATATTAGCGTTAGATTTTGTATCTTGTGAAATTGTACTATTGATTTTTAATTGCAGATGAATAAAGAAAATCATGTCGATGTTCAGATTTAATTGATTTAATATAACTTGGACAAATACCCATGCGGAAGAAGTGATGGAAGAAATAGAAGACTTCATGTTATGTTTCTCTTGAGTGGCCGTTATTAAGCCGGAAGACGAAAGTTTCAGAAAGTTTATCAATTTTGAGCCAATCACAAAGCCCAGTTCCCAGTTTAACACAGACTTGTGGTTACACTCGTGATTTATATTTATATTGTAGGGATTTTTTAGACTAAATCAACGTTCGAGTAACAGTATCGATACAGTAGGAAATTTAAAGAAATCATTTTGAAATCGATGATATCTCAGCACAATTTACGGAAAGGCTACTACCCAACGATGGTTTCCTCCAAATACTTTGAAAACACTACTTCTTAGGCTATCTAGAGTACTTTAGATGTCTGGAAATGTATTTTAAGCGGCGCCATAAAATTTGTATCTGTTCGGTCATCCGAGGGGAACTTGAGTCTTCTCGAAATTACAAGGGCTTCAGTATTATGTTCCCAAAAATTTTAGATGTAAATTAACATTTTACCGAATGTGAGAATTTTTTTTATTCCTCTCTCCATCAAATTTTTGTAACCGCGAGTTTTAGATTTCCTTTTTTCACGAAAAAAAAGCCTAACCTGGAGGTGAAATGTGAAAAAATAAACTTCAGAAAGTCGTAGGAATAGATTAGCTAAGCTTCGAAAATTGTACGTGAATGGAACGGTCATCTAGAAATTTTTTGCCCTCCTCAAGTAATAGAAAATTCTAGGCAATATTTGCTTCTCCGAACCGATATTTTGGACAAAACAGTCGTTGGGTACCCCTGCTAGGTAATATAAATAACGTTTCCCTCTCTGTAATGCCTTTCTAGCTTACCCCAGAACATTACGTTCATCCTTTTTTCATCCATAACAGCCCTTTACCTATGCGGAGATATTATTCACAAAGATCGCTTTATTACCCGGCCATGCTTGTTGGTATACAGTTACTTCCTCCAAAATTACTGAAGTGGCCCAGTACTAATTTACCCTTGGTTTTTGTAACAGACTTAAATTTATCAATGGAAAAACATCCTGGCTGAGACTAGGGCTTAGTAGAAAAGTAAGTTGGGTCGCAGCCTATTCCCCTTTCGTAAGCGGTCCTTGCCATTCTTAGCCGGGTCGAACACTATTGGTAACCAACACTTAAGTCATGACTGATGTAATATATTCCCTGGGCAAATAATACGTTTTTGAATAGTCTTAGAAAGAAAAACATTAAAGCCCCAGTCGAAGTAATGCTAGGGTCAAATGTTATTGATGTATCAGTTAAGAAATCTCGTTTGCTTGACAGATTTTTCGGAATTTTGGTGAGTCGGTGTGGTATTGTAGCGATAATGGAGAGAGATTAGGTTAATAGAAACACTCAAAATAACACGTTAAAAATTTTCTAAGGCGTCTTAAAAATTGCAGCAACGGTTTACGAAGGGTAAATTCGCAGCGTCGCACGTCCTTGTTTGTTTACCAGGAAAATAGTGTACAGCACAACAAAACCCATCGCAAATCCTTTGTCATGTTTCTTGGCTGCTTTCACAATTTGTATGTCAGGGAAAACAAGCGACCTATTCTGCACTTTGCTGTTAAAAGGTTAGGAAGTAAACAAACAACGGTAAAATCATTAACTTTTCAATGCCTCCTTGCATTTGTTACAAGTACAAGGTCTGGAAAGTCCAAGGGTCACACTCATATCAAGTGGTTTACCCTCGTCGATGAACACAAACTGAAAACAAGATATGTAAAGTTGATATAAGATAAAAACTGGTTCGCTGGAATTGAAAAAGCCTGAAGAAGCGGTTATGTTTATTCAGTTAACCATTTAGTGGTCAATTCCTAGTATGGTAAATTTTAGGTTTCTCGAGCTCGTTCTCGTTGCATTCCCTGTACTGCGCAAATACGAATGAGAGAACCAGAGATTTCGTACTCTTGTACAAGTTCTTGTCTATAACAAAATGAATGAATAAATGAATAAATAATGATAATAACAACAACAACAACAACAACAACAACAAAAATGACAAAAATAATAATGCTAACTAATAGTATAAAGTCCTATTTACAATTAATTTCGCTTAAAAAACTCTTCGGTCAAAGCAGTATTTACAATTTCTTTCGATTAAAAAAACACTTTATTTCGATCAAACAATTCATTTCAGTTGAAAAAAAATTATTAGAATTAAAAACATTTCATTTCAGTTTAAAATAATTCATTTCGATTTAAAAAAACTATTTTCAAGGTTAAACGTATTCTAACCAAAAAAGGAATTAAAGCAGCGTTCTCAATGTCTTTTCGAATATTTGAAAGTCCTTTTTCAATAACTAAGTTAGTCTGCGACAATTCTAAATTGACTCCTTTAGAGACTCGCGAGCCTCTTAAGCAAAGTAATGCTGATCTCAGCAGGGCGAAGGACACTTTACACGGCATCCATGACATGTTAGTCGCATAGCTCAGTTCTTTAGAGTAACTAGCTCGGCAAGTCTGCTGTGGAAACGTTTACATTCCGCCGCCATTCCACCTGTCGTGCTGAAAACTAACGGCATGAATTTAGCTTGCTCTTCTTCTAACACTCGGCTAACGCACCGGCGCTTCCTCTTTGTTGTGTTGCCTGAATATCTGGTCTGTCTCAATAGGAGTCTGCATTTGGGTGGCAAACCCTCACATCAAAGAAAGCCGGCGACCCCTGCCTCTCTCAGCTATATCCAGCCCCTCATGTCTTGCAAAAGTGGTTCGACTTTAAGCAGTTCCGCCTCCAGATTCCTCAGGTCATTATGGCGTTGGATGACAAATCCGCCCCGTTTGTATATATTAGCGTGATCTACATGGAAAATGTCTCCGCAAACACAAACAGAGGGTGTATCAGGAACTTCCCAGTCGTACCTGAGTTTCACAGCATCTCGAAACTCACTCTCCTTTAAATCAAAGTCCCTATCTCTAATTGGCAACACGGTAAGCCAACTAAACGCACCCTTCTGAGTGGCAATTAAGAGCCACAGCTCTTAGAATTTTTGCAGAAATCGAGCTCCTCACCTTATCAAGCTTTTCCTTCAGATACTGATTCTTCACTTGGCGCACGTCTTGTTGTACAGCGCGTTTTACATTGTCATCCGGCGGTTCATGTATCTGCGATTCTATTTGTTGAGCTAACGGACCAGAGAGTAGTTGATGCTACATACTCTAAGGCTGCTACTTGACTCGGATTTGTTAGGCCCATGCCTCTCATTCTCACTGGCAGCGCCAGCAGCTCACGTTCTGCTTGCGTACAGTTGTGCCCTGTAATGGAAAATATGAGAGTATCAGCTATAGCACGCTCAAGAGGTGCAAGTAGATCTTCTGTATCAGACAGAGTTCTCAGAAAATATATTATGTCCAGCGTTGTTATAATCTAAATGTGAGCGCTGCGTAACAAGCCTGAGGCTGCGAAAGAGCAAACTCTGCCAATTTTGTCCCCTGCCCCATCCATTCCTTGCCTTTACCGTTGACGTAGAATAGATACTGACCGATTTCCTAAGCGACCGCACCCAGGTGCTTCCTTCCTTCTGTTTTGATGTTGATTGCTTTTTCTTCAAAGGTGCTCCTTAAGGTCTCTTCCTTATTAGGCTCTATGACAAGCCAACATTTTCCAGCATTAGGAAAGTATCCTTAGTCCGGTCCAGCCACTATCAACTCGTCATACCACACCCTAATCTCCTGTAGCGATCCACACCCTCTCGCATCATCTGCAAAGCAGCATAGTTTGGCTTGACTCACTGCTTGTAAGCGAGAGATTAGCAGCAGTAGACTGAAGGCATACATGCATATTGCTAAAGAATCGTCTTACGTAGTACCCTCGGCAGAAATATGCTCTTTACCCCTGTTACAAATAGTCGTGTTAGGGCTCGGTAGGTATTGATTGTAACTATGTAGCTAACGCTGGACAAAGAGCCCTGATGTTATGAAGGGCGTCGGCTCGATTCACTGAGTTGAAGGCGTTTGACGCATCCACTAGCTGTTGACATGAATCCAATCAACTGAAATTCTCTACTGATACAATCCTGAATCTAACCGCTTTCATACTTTTTGAGTGATTTTACTTAACCGTGAAACAGGTTGTAGAATACTACGCACTATTATGCACTAATTCCATTTTCTTATTTTGTTTTAATACCTCTTGCTATGTTGCACTATTTGTTAGTATCTGTTTAACGATTCAAGTAAAATCACTCTAACCATTCTCTCTTAAATGCTAGATATAACGTTTACTTGGCTAGAAACAAGTTTGAGACCCCAGAACTGGAGGGTTTCATTGTTCCCCTGGAAATTAAAATCCATTGCGCAAGAGAAATTGCAATAACAAACGGAAATCTTAACAAATACAGAAATAAGTGGACCACCCTGTGCATTTCTGATTAGTGTTGATTTACAGCAATTTAGCAAACGCGCGCTCTATTATTATTATTATATTTGTTCTTCCAGTTGGTGTCGTTAAATTGTTGAACTTTTGTATTTCGTTTTATAATTGACTATTCTGCCTTTTGTTCGCCTTGTTATTGTATAGTTTATTGCATTGCTGTTAAATTAAAAAAAAGTCTTGGTTGTTATTAATACCCGACAGCAGATGGGTACGTTTTGTAGTGAAGGCGTATAGCATATGCTGACACTAACTCTGGCCGGGGGGTGGGGGGAGGGGGAGCGTTGAAAAGAGGATCGATAAGTCCCAGGTTCCGGCATTTCTCGTGCCTTTCATCCCACTATCTGGGAGCCTGGAACAGGCTACAGATAGTAAAAGATATCATGACGTCATGCTATACGGGTTTCATGACGCATTATAACTCCGCGTTCGCTCCAAAACGCACAGCACCAACAATGTCCTCTCGTTGAAATTATTTTAAAAGAAAAAGTTATCATTTATATATGACCAATATTATCTGTTTCTTGTCGATTTGTAGCAACAATCCTGAGAAATCGCTGTACTCATTAAAACAAACTAGCGGGTCATTACTTGGAAAGCAGAAAGTTAGTTTTATTGACAAGACTATTCTGGGATAAATCCAGAAAGTATTCCTATTCCAGATTATTATTGGGTCAATCGACTACAAAACTAAAAAGAAATTGCTTTTAAAAAGCTTACTGTATAACAAACATTATACCCAACTGTTCTTTACATCAAGTAGTCAGGAAACACATAGGGCTTGTATAAGAAGCACGTAAACGTTGATTACTATTCATTCAAAATATTTCTCCATTTCTGATTGGCTAAAAGCACACACATAACTCATGATAACCAGCTACTGTTGACCAAATTTGGAAGAAATTTGCGATTAATCAACCGATGACGTCAAAAATGCAGCACAGTTGCAGGTTAATGCACCGTTAACCGAGACGACATGGGGACGAGGTTGAGTTGTTTTGGTTGTGAAAACAAAAATAGCAGAACGTTGTACTCGTTTCACGACGAACTATTGTCTACAAACATTGCTAGGAGACAACTCGACGGACAACATCTGCTATTTGGAGTATATATTTGCAGACCTGAACAGCCCTTTATCTTCTAAACATCCACTATCGAGGTGAACTTGATATCGACGAAAGTAAGCATGTTTTAGCTTGTTTTTAAACTAGGATTTATTTTGAATGAATAATAAACTAATGAATGAATTCGGCTTTCGTAGGATATAAAGAATTAGGAAGATCTCGGAGGGTGTTATCCACCGCGGCCCACCCTACTCGATCTGCCTAATTCTTCATATCCTACGAAAGCCGAATTCATTAATTGCTAATTTACTGACTTTAACAGTCTTCTCTGTTCTACAAATAGACATTACCAACGACTACTGTCAAATTGTAACTGTGGAGTACAATTTTTTTGAGCTTCCTGATTGCTGATTGAAGAATCTTCAAAGTTAAAATCAAAAACTGTATCTACCGACAGTGGCCGGCAATTCTTCCACTTTCAGTGAACAGCTTATAGTACTTTTTTAGACAAACACTACTCAGCGCTGGCTACTCGAGTCAATTCTAAGTATGTAATAGCAGTCAAGTAATATTAAACGAACACATTAAACAAAACTGTAATTAAAGTTAACGAGATTAAAGTGTGCAAATTTGATTGTAATACACTGCTCGTGGTTTTGCAGGACTCCACTGAACAAAACTGAACACCCAGCTAAGTCAGCCGAGTCCTATCATCGATTTTAGAATATCCAAAGAAGACTATTTTCAGAGTAATCGCAGTGTATTAGTATCAAAATAAGGCAAAAGTTGTAGCTGATTATCGCCTTGCACACTTTCTTAAATTCCAAAGTTGATCCAAAAGGCCCCGATTGTTACACATCAGTGAATAAAAACAAGGGAAACCAACTTCGTCATGCACTGGATTGAAATGTATCTGGGAGATAGCGCTATCCACGTTTTGACAACTGGGGATCACAGGAAAAAGATTTCCCAGACATTTAACCAGAGATTAATTATACCCTAAACATTTTCAAAACTAATCAAAAGTAGACTCAGTGATTTAATTTACTGTATGTTAAGCGTCGTATATTTACGAATACGATTAAATTAACACGATTGGTTACTTATAAACGTTTCTGGTAATTGCTGTAAATTACCTTTTGCAGCAGTGTAATTATAACAAAAGCAACACTACAGTAAACAAATGTCAACAACGCAGAAATATTTGTTTACTTCCTATCCGTGTGTACAGGGAGTAAAAAAGGAGAAATATTCTATTTGTTGCTCTTTAGGTTACAAAGTGAAACGCTGGCCTTACCGTTAAACCAAGCTTAGTAGTTTAGTGAAATGACCGTTATGATCTCTTAAATGAAATACTGAACACATACAGTGAGCGCGTGGAAACAACAAAAGTGAATTTCCGAAGTGGATCCACTTTGCTACATATCCAAGAAAGGCTTTGTTTTACGGTTTACGGGTAACATGATTGTTACCAACGACTTGGTTAACAGAGATCATATCATCTCTTTCATGACAAACGAACTATAAGGACAAAATCTACTCCAAAATTCGTTATTTACGAGGTCGGTGCACGACATAATTACAAGATCTTTTACCTAAACAATAAGGGAATGGAGTGTTATTAAGGCCGTGATGCCAGGTAGAAGTCACCGAATAAAGGATCATGATTTCTACCTAGGAGGCACTAAACATCACCCTAATAGAACTAGTATTCGGCTCAACTGGCGGGCGCTTAAGACAGAAGATCTCCTTCACTAGTAGGCTGTTGTGGCGGCCTCAGCAAGGCTGTGTCATCCATCGACTCGTCATAATCTTCAGCGTGCAGTGCGAGATAACTCTGATCACTTAGGCGGCTGGGTATCGTGCTTCCTCCGTTCCCCCTCAGTCTTTTGCCGTACCTGAAAAACAATGATAGCGACGAAGACTTCACACCAAAAGAAGCAAATCACAAAATAATTGGCAGTAGGCTGGTGTACAGCGATAGTCACAAAGCGCGACAAACCTAAATTTCGTTGCTTTAATATTCCACAGATGCTCTACCTCGTAAGCAAGTGTCTACTGCGTTCTTTAATTTCAGTAGCAATTACTGATTTTATTAGCAAGGTGAAGGAGCTCCTATTCCTTCCTCAATCAAGGATCAGCACCTTGTAACTTGAGTGCTTGCTTGCAGGTTAAAGTGAACATTATTTATGGCAAACTAACCTTTTTACCACGAAGATCAAGGCCAGAACGAAAATAAGTCCGAAAACCACACCCACTATAATGTAAATGTACGTCTTCTTTGATGATTTGTTGTCGTTTGAGTGTTGGCCTCCTGGTTTACCTTCATTTGTACCTTTACCATCAACCATGATCACTTGATAACCTGCCAGCTTGTCATTCTCAGAAAGTTCAGAAGTGATGAACTTATGTACGAAGCTTCTGGGCATCACCTTAGTGTCCTTGCCATCAGTGTACAGCACAACAAAACCAACCGCAACTCCTTTGTCTTTTTTCTTGGCTGCTTCCACGATTTGAATGTCAGGGTCTTCAAAAACAAGTGGACTTTTCTGTGCCTTGCTGTTAAAATAAGAGATAAATAAAAAACGATAACAACAATTAACTTTTCGATGCCTCCTTGCACGTGCAAGGCTGGGAAACAAGTGCCAGTAAGCACGTGTACGATTTCAATAGGGACCTTAAGCATCGACGACGAAATAAGACGACGCCGCCGCCGGGACATGGTGTGGTTATGAGGAGCCCTGAGAGAGGACAAATAAGGGAGAACAATGCGGCACTGAATTCTCTTCAGCAGCCGAGTAACTGCAGGTCAAGAGCTGTTCGAGATCTGTATTCACTTTGAACTTCAAAACAAAACCAAAAGCTGCGCGACAAAGAGAAAGCCTCCAGAATCGAACAATACAGGTCCGTCGTAAAGAACGATAAATTCGCTATCGTCGATTAAACCATCGGCATAGCTTATAAGATGCAAATTACGGAGCTCTTTGAATGCCATAACAAGACTGTTACGAGACAAAGTTGTTCGCAAAGAGAAAGTCGTCGTCTGTCTAAGAAGCTGTACTCCTTAAACTTCGTTTTCCCGTCAAACATGAAACCCTTGACCCAGTCTACCTCGGTTGCGAGGCGTCGTCGTCGTCCGTTTCGTTGTCGATGCTTAATCGTCCGTCAGGGAACACAAGCTGAGAACAAGATATATAATGTTGATTTGCTTAACTTAAAACCTTGACAGGTAATTTACATTGAGAAAAGCAAGGACGGTAAGAAAGACAGTTCAAACAGCAGACATTTACAAGAAAGCTGGTACACTTACCTTAAAGATGCGGAACAGTTACTGCTGGAGCAGTAATTGTTAAGATCTTGAACCAGATTATGTATAAAGCTTGTCTTATTCCACTAAACAGCAAACACAATTCACATATTACTCTATACATCTTGAACCACTGCTTATGCTAAAGCTAGATATTAGTGTTTTAAGGTAGGTTTTAGGAGAACACAGCAATTTGTTCCATATGTTTTGCATCCTGTTTACTCCTCGGGAGTGTTAAAAGCAATTGAGAGAAAATTGAGAAAAAATATGAGAAACTAATGGAATTATTTTACTTGGGACAGTCAGACAGTCAGTCAGTCAGTCAGTCAGTTGGATGAAAAAAAATGCTGCCGTCTAGATGCAATTCATATCAGAGGTTAAAGACCCTTTGTCACGTTACGAAAGTAGGAGGAAGATGTGCAGAGATCTAAAAAAAAGTCAGATGCTTGTATGAAAAGAAAAAAAACGTTACGTATTCACGTTTTTACGACCCACTCATTTCTTTGTCTTCAAAACAACAGAGGAAACTGAAAGAAATGTTCATACCTGTTGAATTTTCACATCAAATTCTACATTAACAGTTTTGTTTTCTGTAAACAAAAACAAAAACAAAAACAAAAAAACCGTGACAACGATAACGAAATGAAATTCAAATAGCTGTATACCTACAATCATAACCATCATTGTTACAATAACAGTAAAATCGTTAGGTTATTAAGGTTACCGGATAGCGAATTCCGCTTAATTTGCAGATACCTAAGACCTAGGCCAGACGTCGAACTTTTCATGAGAAGAACCAAACTCCAATTTGCGTCGACCTAAATTTAGATCGTCTGTTGGGTCAGACGTCGAACTTAGGACACCGCGAACCAAAAACACTGAATCAGACCAAAAAAGCAATTTTAGCCCAATGAGGCTAAATATACATTGTCGCAAATTTTTCTTTTATTAGTTTAGTTCGTCCAATGTGAAGATTGACTTTTGTCCCGGATACACTGAGAACGTGTTGGACGATCCAAACTCATTCAGACGAAGTCAACTGAGCAAGCAGTCGAACTCTTCATGAACTTCACTCGCGAAGTTTGGTTCGACTCATGAAAAGTTCCACGTTTGGCCTAGGCCTAAGGCCCTATAATTTATCAAATCAAAGCTTACTGAAAAAACTATATTAATAATTAAACATATTAAACACTTTTTTAAAAACTTGCACTGTTTTTTTACATATATTTTCTTTCAATGCGACCGCGAGGATCAGCTTCCGAAAGTGAAAACTCAAAGGAATTTGTTTTCGATTGACCTACAATGTTGATTCACTGAGTAGGACTATTTGTACCACTAAGGCTGCTAGTGGTTGGTGTATCACGAAAGTCGCTCATGGTTGGTGGGTTTTGATCCGGAGCATTAATTTTTATTGTGGCTCAAGTAATTCTGCAATATCCGGTAATGTTCGTAGGAAATATGTCCAACGGTGCCGCAGACCAAAAGTGAAGGCTGCATAGCAGGCTTGAGGCTGTGATATGGCGAAATCTGCGGGTTTAGTAATTTCATTGACCAATTCCTCCACTTTCTAGCCAAAATATTCTTCAAGGAACGATCTTGATCCTAGAGCCGTGCCTAAATGCTTGTGGCCCTCTGTGGTGACATTAATTGGCCATTTCGGAGTTGCGTAGGGAACTGGGGCGAGTTTCAAATTTAAACTAATCGATAAACTGACACCACCAAATAAAAGGTCATGTTGAGATTGGTTATTTGACCAAGCTTGGTGCTCTAAGGTTGGACAGGGATCAAGTTATAACCCTTGAAACATGGTTAAAAATCCATACAAACGTCTGTAATTTTGTTACAGCGTCCCCCAAAACCATATAAACTTAATGTTTTTCACAATTTCTGTGATATTCCTGAAAAGGGGCAAACATAGTGATTTTCCTTCCAAGTAGAAAATGAATGACGAATTTTACAGTTTAATAGAAAAACTGAAAAATATTTTAAAGAGTATTATTTGGAATTGAATACTGGCTTGTAGTAGAATTTCTGGAAGGTGGAGGAACATGAACCATCAGCTATTTTCATAATCTCATCCAGAGAAACACTGCCATTGGCTGCCGCAGAGAGTGGGCCTTGAAGATGTTTGTATTGATATCAGCATCTTGAATGGAAAGGCGGAGCCAGCGCCCCATAGTAGCAGAGGAAATGGCTTTGTGAGGCTTTGCATATGAGATGAACAGAGGGTCTGGTTTGGAGCAGGGTACAGTGGGGCGAACTGAGCACGTCTTCTTAAGGTAATGACGAAAGGTCTCGACAGGGCATAATTTTTGATTGTGAGGAAAACGAGCTAGGAAGGCCTGAGCTAGCTGATTAGGGTTGCCACGCTTTCTTGGAGAAGTAAGGGAAAAAACAACTCCTTCTGGGATGACTCTACAGTATCTAAGATCTAATTTAGCCAGTCCTTTCTGAACAAGCCAGGGCAAAGAGCATAACAAGTTTCCTTGACAACTGCTTCAGGGATAGGGAGTTGTTACTTCCCAAGGAGGCAAGGTGTGCTGTCACTTTCTTGACATCCCAAGTATATGAGTATCGTGGCTTTGGTGGGCGGCAGTTCAGTATACCCTTCATGAGCTTGGTGACAGGAGGATGTTGGCCAACAAGGAAGTTGTCTATCCTGGAATGTGTAGATGAAAGAGCTGAACGCAGAACATTTATGGACCGGTACGCCAAACCATCTGAAAAAGCAATTGCTAAAAACTCAAGAATTTTTGAGAGTGGGGCTGAAACAGGATAAATTTTCCCTTTAGCACACCAGCGACTCCAGCAGGACCCTGCTGATTGGTAGGCCTTTCGAGTGGAAGATCGAGTTGCTGAGAGGAGAAGTTTGGTAACCTGTCCAGGAAAGCCTTCTGTTTGATAGTACTGCTGGAGATTCGACACACGGTCAGATGAAGGCGAGGGAACATTGCATGTACCTTGCTTGGATCTGAGAGATCCGCATGAGGTGTTGACTGCGTGGAAGTAACACAGGGTTGCTGACTAGAGGACTCAATAGGATGGGCCACCAAGGCTGAGCTTGCCAAATTGGAGCTACAAGAAGCAGATCTGCAATGTCCTGAATCACCTTGTTGAGAACTACTGGAATTAGATTGAAGGGAGAGGCGGGGGGGGGGGGGGGGGAAAACTAAACCCCAGAGAACCCCAAGGGGGAAGTTGGGGGGCTATCAATAAAAACCCCCGGGCCCTGGCCCCCACACCACTTTTGGGGGAGCAGGGGTTGGGGCGGGGGGGGAAAAAAAACGCGGGTTAGAATTTAAAAGAAGAGGGGAGAAAAACCGGGGAAGGGCTACCACGCCGGGTGGGGAAGGGGGGTCGAGGGCACAAGGTCGCCTTAGAGGCTGAAAATAAGGAGTTTGGCAAATGCGTTAATGCGCTTGTTGAGAGATTCGGGAATTAGATGGGGGGGGGGGGGGGGGGGGGGGAGAAGCATAACCCATCAGAGACTTCCAGTGAAGTGTTAGAGCGTCTATATGAAATGCTCCTGGACCTGGTCGCCAACTTACATATTGGGGTAGCTGTGCTGTTAGGCGGCTGGCAAAAAGATCCGTGTTGCAATTTGAAAGGAAGGGTGAGATTACCGTTGGATCGAGTTGCCAGTCGGTTGAGTCAAGGAAGGTACGAGACTCTAAGTCGGCTATAGTATTTTCTTTTCCAGGAACATGCTGTGCTGAAATTAAGACGTTTCTCTGAAGACACCATGTCCAGATTTCCAGAGCTAAGGACATCAGAGGAACTGAGTGGGTGCCTCCTTTGTTGTTGAGATAAGGTACTGCCATGGAGTTGTCCAACGTCAATAAAGGGAATGTTTTGAGGACAAGAAATGCTGCTTTTAATTCCAGGAGGTTGATGTGCTGGATTGATTCCTGACTGGACCATTTGCCGTTAGTGGACTTGCCCTGACACGTGGCACCCCAACCTTGCATTAAAGCATCTGAGAGAATTGTGAGATCCTGTGGTGGGGGAGAAACAGGGCTGCCGTTGACCTTGTGTAAATTGTTTAGCCACCAGGTTAGCTCTGCTCGAGACTTGAGATTGAGAAATACTGGACAGTTGTAGTCGAACTGGTGGTTCCTCAGGGTTTGTATGAGCAGGATTTGAAGAGCCCTTAGGTGCAAGGGGGCTACCCATATGGCAAGGCGACAAGACTCCAGGGTTCCTAGAAGGCTGGCTAGCTGTCTTCCTGACATTTGAGGTTGAGAGAGAGAGTTTATGCAAACTGCATAAACCCTTTGAACTTTGGCTTCTGATAAGTAAATGGTCATATTCACAGAGCTTATGACAAAACCGAGGTATGTTATTGACTGAACGGGGGACAGTGTTGATTTCGTCCAGTTTATGAGAAAGCCCAGGGACTGTAATAGACTTAACGACATTTAAGTTAGACGCAATGCTTCCTCTTTGGAGGAGGCAAGAAGAAGAAGGACGTCGTCTAAATAAATTATTATGCGATACCCCTGCTTCCTCAGGAAGGCGGCTACAGGTTTCAGGAGCTTGGTGAATATTCGGGGTGCTGAACTGAGACCGAAAGGGAGACCCAGAAAGGTGTAGTGTTTTGTGCCCCAGATGAAACGAAGAAACCTTTGAGAGGATTTGTGAATTGGAACGGAAAGATATGTGTCTTTTAGATCTATACTTGTCATGTAGTCCCCTTTCCTTAGAAGGGTCTTTAAACAATGGAGCCCCTCGATCTGAAAATGAACGTGGGGAACAAAACGCTTTAATGAACTCAACTCTATCACGGGCGGGTAAGTGCCCTCTTTCTTGGGAACAAGAAATAGACCGTTGTAAAAGGCCTGGTCTGAGGGACTGACTTCCTGGATAGCTCCTTTCTTTAACAATTCCTGGACCTCGGCATCGATCAACTGGGTTTCTGAAAAACTTGCCCTTGTCACAGGAGGGCAAGACTGAACTGGGGTTGAATGAAAATCTATTTGAAAACCCTTTACAATACTTAACACCTCTGGATCTCACGTTATTTGCTCCCACTGAGGTAGGTGCTGGTTGATTCTTGTTGGAACGTCCTTTCAGGACGAAAAAAGCGTTTTTTTGGACGGTTCTGAGGGTACTTTGAAGAGGTAAAAGACCCAGAGTTAAAGGAGCTCCGCATGGGGACTGGCCTAGATCCACAACGTTGGGTAGAGCTAGAAACTTGGCGCCTTGCATTTGATGAGAGATTTTTAGAAAGGCCACGTGACAGGTCAGCCTGTTTCGAGGCGAGGGATGGAAAGTCATCCCCAAATAACATTCTTTCTTTCTTCTCAATACTGAAATCTGATAATTAGCAGAACCAAGAAGGCATAGTGCCTGCTCTAACATAAACTTTACATCCTTATTAGAGACATTAATATTGTCATTCGATTCAAGGGCATCATGTAGACAACACAAGGGGCCAGTCGCATTAAGTACAGAACGCTGGACAGAAACTATTTCCTTATCACGTTCTTGAACAAGTTTCTTGGACAGTGGATTTGAGATCTGGTTGATGATCGCTAGATCAAGGGTAGGAGACGCTAAAGCGTCAACAGAGTAAACACTGTTCGTTTCCAAAACATCCAGGACTTGATCATAACTTAGTTTCCGACGGAAATTCTTTTCCAAGAATGAGGAAAAATCCTTGGACGGTTTCCAGCATGTGACAGAAGCGTCGGGGTCATAACATGCCCCTTCGGTGTTCTCATTTGAACTTGAGTTTACAATGCCCGAACTCGAAGTGCCGTTCGATGGCTTAGTAGCCTCATTTGTTGGCAATTCTGCCTCGTTTGATGGCTTAATAGCCCCCTCTTCATTAACACAATCGAGCGCGATGTCTTCAGATCCCAGCAGGAAAATGGCGTCGTAGTCGGTAATACAATCCCGCTCGAGGGCCGTTTTCTGTTGTTAAAAGCGGGACTCAAAAAGGGCCAGACGGCTATCATAATTGGTAACATTTTGAAGAGACTAGAGAGTCTGCAGAAGGGACTCCAGCTTGTCATTGTCTATTGAAGGACGACGTTTGGGTGAAGATGGCGAGTCCCGATCGTTCGAATGGCGGGAAGGAGAATGTGACCGTGATTTACGTTTGCGATGTGGCGGCATCGTATCTGGCCTCGAAATTTCGTAGTTGAAGTAAATCACCGTAGATAAAACTCCTACAAGAAAACAGTAAGCTAAAACAACAAAAAGGGGGAGAAATAAAAGCTCGAATACGAGCGAAAAATACTCACCTGTCTATGGATAGAAGCACAGCGGAAACCTGGGAGCACATGGTTGAGGCCCAAGGCTTGATGGGATTACTTTAGATCTTTAGGGGGTACCCTAAGGGGTGTTAAAAGCGTGGATCGAAGCACGAATAAGCAGACAATACCTAGTTTATTCTCATATATTTCGACCGGAGTTTGTGAAATATACTTGTTGGTTTATTAAGAAAGCCAGTTCAATAAGCTGTAATTTGATATAGGATTTTAGGTATCTGCAGTTTAACCGGGACACGCTGCATCTCTTGAAGCTGAGACACCCCCGAAGGTATCCGGTAACCCCAAGAGGGGGATCAAAATCGAATGTTTAGCTAAGTCCCGTCCATGCTGAGTAATGCATCTAAACACCGTTACTGTTAGGACGTCATACCAACAAAGACGTTGGGTGTCTTCTCACAAAATCCGTTTATAACAATATTTAGCAGTGATGATCACATATTCCCAGTCCTAGCATAGTGCCAGGGTTCCATTATGTTTTCTTGAAGCCAGGACTAGGTCAGTTAGTGTTGTGTTGTTAGCAAACCAAATGATTAACTGCTTGGGGAAGGGCGCAGACAGACACTGCTCTTCGCTTCACAACGGAATGAGTGACTTGTCTGAGAACCATTTTGTGTCCAAACTGATATCTACCATTCTCCTTGTCAGGCCATTACCAGCTGGATTATTTAACCCACTTCAACTAAACTACAGACAGTCACAGATCACTTAAAGTGTTTATCAAAGTGAACATGATCTTCGCGGTATAAGAATGAACAACCTAAGCGGATGAAAAAGAACCTGAAAAATTCAGGCTTGACCGGGAATCGAACCCTGAATTTTTTCAGATTTTTTTTTCAACCGCTTAAGTTGTTCATTCTACTGCGAAGATCATGCTCAATTTCATATCTTAATCAGCAGTTCAAAATATGAGTCATTTCATCTATTTCAATTCAAGTGTTAGGTTTTCTTACCTACAGGCAGCTGGCATAATTCTCCGACGAAGTACTGCGCACAGTTACAAACGCCAGAGTCACATGAGCCACCGTTTTTACATGGTACCTTTTGACTGCAGGTTGCTTCAAGAAAAGTAAAAAAACAAGTTTTTAAATCACCTTATGATTGAAGACACTCATCAAACACGGACCGAGGTATTTTCGTTCCGAGGGGTGTTCAACTTGTGCACACCGTTGAAGCCAATAACAGGCCTTTGCAGCTTGTCATTCACGTGGTTCAACGGCCTTACTGGAGAGCAAGAGATGCCTGAGACGAAGACTACCGTGCGAGCAGACTCACTTGTACGAGTTGTACAGCGCGCGAGGAAAAAGTTATACTATCTCTTTTCCTCGCGTGCTGTCAGCTCCGAGCTCCCGCACTCGCACAAGTGAGCCTGCTCGCTGGCTATGACAAGAAAAACAAAGGAAATTATTATTTTAAGCGATGCATTTTAAGCCTTTTGTTTGTCTGGTCCAAGTGAGTCCCTTGCTGTCCAGCATGGCGGTAGCAAGTGCAATGACTATCTGCAAAGCGCCTATTTCCATTCTTCCATGCCGTAACACATTGTTTTCTATTAGTTAGACCCACACCATCATGATACGTGCAGTACATGTGGCATTCTACAATCGTCCCTTGTAATAACTTTGTCCAGATAACCAATGCTAAAGCTGAAACGCAACTCGTGAAAGGTACGTTTTATTTTTTATTTACGAGATGAAAATTGTAAGTGACTGATCTGGGGTTATTTCAATTTCATGTCAGTTAGCTGAAGCACTGCCTATAAAAAATCGTCACGTCTGACGGATATATTTAAGGGATTCCGAACCCCCCACCCCACCCCTCCTGGATCCCACGCCACTGCTAATCCAACAGCAGCTAGAAAGCAAAGGGAATGTAATGGAATTGCAAATTTCTAGATATGAAAATTTAAAAAATGCAATTGTTTACACATCAAGATCATAAGTGAATACTATCCAGCAGAGCGATTTATTTGTGGCAGTCTGTTTATGTTGCGCTTTGTTTGCATACCACTTGTGGGGGAGGGGGTGAGGCCATTAAATAAGTGTTCTGTTTAACAACCCATTTCGAAATATTAAACTTCATAATTGACCTTCAGGCATTGGGAATGAAACAACAGACATCACTTTGGGTAACACCTTTCTTCTTTACCGTATTTCCCCAAGCCTCGGAGCCAAGTTAATACGTCTTTTCTTACCGTTTGTACAGACTACTCCGACATCATCATTGTGGGTGCAGTTATGAGCAAACCAGCCCCGGTGACGACAGAAAGACAGGCCCGGTTCATTTCCCTTACACTGTACATTATCCAGGAAAATCTGACCTGATCCAGGACCAAATTTAGCCACCGATTCTGCTCGCTTGTATCCCAACTGTTTGCAGACTAAGTTACTAGCATTTATATCCCAGTTGTGTTTACAAATTGTTCCCCAAGAACCTTGATACCTAACTTCCACTCGCCCACTCGCACTCGATCCACCATTTGCAAGTCTTAAATCTGAAGATTACAACAAAAACCTGAAAGGTTAGTTGATCTACTGTTCAAGCAAACGTTGAAACTATTATTAAAGGCAAGACAAAAGGAGGTGTTACAGGTGATACAAATTAGATAATGCTGACCATCTAATCTCTTTCGATGAGAAATACAATATCATCTGTTAAGACTACAATATCATCTGTTATGACTGCTGTAACCTTTCCTCTCCGCCCGCCTCGTCTAGCTTTTACTATTTGCGGGCGGAGATGGCAAAACGATGAGTGTGAAAATAAAGTATAGTGTGTGTGTGAAAAAATAAATTGTATTAACCTTGAGTAAAAAATCAGAACGGTCCTTCGACTTGTTTTTAAAAATTTCTACTGTTTTTGGGCAAGGACCTTGAGCAGACTGCCTCATCAAATTAAAATGCACATAAACCAGATAAACTTTTAGTGAATAAACTTAATGGCTATTCCGTTGATAGCTAGGGTTTTGCTTTTTTGCCTGGTGTAATGAATAAAAAAGAAATGTCATAATCATTTATGTTTTTTAGCAAAAAAAGCCCCGTTGCATTCAATGGATGCATGGGGCAAAACAACTTGATATTATTAGTCTAGATTCCTCTTCCACAAGAAATGATAAAATAATAATAACAGTGATAATGATAACATGATAATAATACTAACACTAATACTAATACTAAAACAAATAAGGATACGAATACTTACACTAACAATAACAACACTAATACTAATACCAATACTAATAATACTATCACTAATACTATAACTAATACTAATACTTATACTAACCGTACAGAAATTATTCAAATTCATTGAAAGATCAATGTAAGTACTCACCATAGCATTCTACACTGGCATCTAAATAGTGACCCCAAATCTTCTGTTTTTCAGTATTGGAGTGATTGCATTGAGCAAGTTTATTCTCAGTTCCATTGCAGTCGAAATCAGACATCCAAATAGGGCCACTCCCTTTACCAAAACTACTTCCTGTGAATGCTCCAACGGCTCCTTTAAAGCCAAGCTGCTTACACACCACATTAGCATCATATATATCCCAACCACGGTCTGTCACTGTACCCCATATACCACCAATGTTCACTTCCACACGTCCTTGGAAATTTACTCCAGTTTCGTTACCAAGTCTTACGGCAAACTCTGCAAAGAGGAAAACATTCCAAACCTCTGTGTACTAGTGGCTTGTAATTGCTTGATTCGTACTTCTGTCGATTGAGCTCGACGAAATGGAAAATGATGAATTTTTAGTTGAGCTTAGAGTTCAAAAACTAAACATCTCTGGGATTGCTGTAGCACTGCAAATTATACAGTCCCTTAGCAAATTGTTCTGCGCCCAACAGCCACACTCGTTTGTGGACAGAATTTTCAAATTAAAAAAGCGGATACAAGACGAAATAACTGGATATCCAGAAGCGATAAATACTTTTTTGATAAAGTAAACAACCATGTCTTATAGGTTTTAAAACGGGAGTAAAACAAACAAATGGCGAGAAAGGTCGACTTTTTATGCTCACGTAATGGCGACTACGCCACAAGGCAGTTCTTCTAGTTGTAGGGATTGGCGCTAAGGTAAAATATCATTCCCGAGCATGCGCACGGCGCCAGTGATTTAAATTTAAATTTAGCGTCAATGGCCTAGTGATTTAGGCTAAAGTAATTTCCCACTACCGTGGTAGAGGATGCCATAAATAAAACCGACGTAACCAAACAACAAAAAGGATCGAAATCTGCAAATTAAAACCTACAGACCTTACTTTTTGAACACGCTAAAAAAAACCTGTTTCTTGAGAGGTTTGTTATGGTGAATAACGGAAGCGAAAACTGTAACAGTTGGTTAATTTTAATTTTTTCGACCTTGGAGGCCGCACATTATTGAAAATCAACCTACCAGATCTGTCTGTTTCTTTAGTTTTGCAAATAACTGCAATATCTGAATCATGACTGCAGTATGTATTCCCCCAACCACTATGTGGGCACATGGTTATAGATGGTTCTGTTCCAAGACACCTGACACGATCTAGCCATATGTGACCTGTTCCTTTACCAAACACCTGACAGCAAGGTACCACCAGTTCAGCACCCTCATAACCCAACTCCTTACACACAACAGTAGCGGTTTTTATGTCAAAACTATCGTCAAACCAATTATTATTGCACACTGTACCCCATCTCTTATTGTGGTACACTTCAACACGACCAGCTGACTTAACAGATGATCCAGGTCTTTGCACTAATCTAATTGCTGCAATAAAAAAAGAAATGTTATCACAAAGAACATTCAGTCCTAACATAACAATAGTTTAAGCTCCATAATTAATATTTAAGAACTATACAGTCAACTCTCTCTAAGACGGACACCTTTGGTACCGGCACTAAGTGTCCGTCTTAGAGAGATGTCCATATTACAGAGAGTCAAATATAAAAGGAGTAAAGAAAGGCAGGGACCAACTCTAGGTGTCTGTTTTACAGAGGTGTTTATCTTAGAGATATGCCCGTCTCATTGAGAGTCACCTAAACGGAGTGAAGAAAGGCAGGGACCAACTCTAGGTGTCTGTTTTACAGAGGTGTCCGTCTCATAGAGACCAACTCTAGGTGTCTGTTTTACAGAGGTGTCCGTCTTATAGAGAGTCAAACAAAGGGAATAAAGAAAGGCAGGGATCAACTCTAGCTGTCCGTCTTAGAGAGGTGTCGGTCATATTGAGAGTCACCTAAATTACCTGAGTCGCAGACGCTCCAAACCTTCTTAATAGAGCGTCTGCGAATGAGTGCACAAAATCTTGTTCGAATCCCACAGAGTCGCAAGGACATCATGTCGGCGTTTTTGATTGGGTAGTTTCTTACGCATTTTGTGATTAGTCCGATTTGAATTAAGTGTTGACAGGCCAAACACGATTAATAGCTCGTGACAAGAGAGATTGAGCTCGCGATAGTATGAAACGTGACCTGAGAGTCAGCTTGAATAACAGAGGTTTTTCTTGTTTTCTTTTTGTGTAGTTTATGCAGTGCATGGAGTATTCTACACTTTGACTGAGCAATTTTTTTTCTTTGGCCGCTTTCAGTCTCACATTTAGAGGTTAGGAGTCTTAGGAAGCTGGTTTGTTCCATGCATTCTGAGTAATTAGTTCCTGTGGTTTATGTTTCTGCAGTGACAGGATTTGATCAGGGCTTTGATCATGATCGCAGATGCAGTTTACCATTAAATGATTTTCTTTTACTAAGCCGTTAGACTGCAAAACAGTCGGCTTTTTCTCAAAATCAGTAAAGAAACCGGTAGACCGTACCGTAAGAATCTTACGCGCGCGAAGCGCGCGAGCCTCACTTTTCAGCCTCGTTCCAGACCTTTTGTTTGACTACTCGCGCGTACTTGAATACGCAAAAATACGGACTGTTTTGCAGTCTACTAAGCCGTAAGCTTTTTTATTGCGGCTAAATAAGCTTACTTTCTTTGGTTTTCTCTGAAATGCCTGGACCTGAATAATTACATGTGTGTAGTTTTGTTTTTTGAACGTGAATATCATGATTTCCTGATTTGTTTTGATGCTAGAACTGTCGGCTAGATTGCAGAATACACGGCAGTGCATCTGCAGCGACTGGAATAAGACGCTGGAAAACCAGGTCGACAAATTTACAAGCAAACTCTGGCCTTGAAGGAATTCTCGAAAAGCATTTTTTGTTCACAAGAAGGCGTTAAAGTTCGAACTACTCTTTCATTGTTTACTGTAAACTGTAAACGGGTCCTTGCCAACTCTCTTCTGTGAATTTTGACATGTCACTGCGCCCAACCGTCACGCACACCTAAGAATTCGGCCAATCGTGAGGCGTTTAAGAAACCCGTAAGAAACCCACCTATCAGAAACGCTCACATATGTCCTTGCGACTCTGCAATATATTAGAACGAGCTTTTGTGCACTAACTCGCAGATGGTTTAGACAAGTGCGTGGGCCGGCTGCAACGCAGGCTACACCTAAAATGAGTAAAGAAAGGCAGGGACCAACTCTAGGTGTCCGTTAAAAGATAGTGGTTTAAATGTTCCAGTCAAGGCACAGGTGGCCCAAGCTCTGTATGAGAGTTTAAATGTGGCTAAATGTAATTTAGGCGAGGTCAAACCCGAGGCAATGCTGGCCAGCGGTCTCCTTCACTAATCGTATGTGGGGCGATCTCGGGGTTTAGCAGGGCCTTAGTGATTTTACAGTGCTTTCGCAGGAGTCAATCATTTTGCTCTCGTTGCTTTTGCGTGCAGTAGTTATAGTTGTTTATTGCCCCCAACCCTCTCTCCTTTCTCGACGCTGTTTTGGTAAGTATCTGCGCCTCTCTCAGGGTTGTCATGGTTACCTTCTAAGATCGCTTGCGGTCCCCTTCCGCTTCTTCAGGCACCTTCCGCACACTCATCTATTGTTGATGGGTTCAATCATTAATACGCGTGGTCTCGAATTGTGTAATCCTTAAAATGGCCGTGAACATAAAGGATTTGTGTGGGAATTCAGGTAAAAGATTCAAGAAGAAAAATACTCGCTAGAATTTTCAATAAAATACACCTCACCTTATTTACTTTGCTTGTTTTTGCTTGCTATGTGGTTATTTTCCCGATAAATTGCGATTTAAGCGATTTCCTTTAACCACGAGTTTCCACTATACAAGAAAGGATTGATGGGGAACAAATAACGGTTTTTGGGCTGTTTCGTTTTTGTAGAATTCAAAAGAGCTTTTGCCATCTTTGAATATGGTAACTTTGAAGTAGTGTAGTAACAGTGAGAGACCAAACAGGGGCATTCAACGACGGTTTCCTCCTAAAACACTTCTATTCTTAGATGTCTAGAAATGCATTTTGAGCGGCGCTATAAAATTTGTATCTGTTCGGTCATCCTAGAGGAACTTAAGTCTTTTCAAAACTACAAGGGTTGAGTATCATTTTCCCAGCCCACAACATTCTGTTTTCTTCAGTCGGTAGCCTGCAGTGCAGGCGTATTTTGAGCGAGCGAAAGCTGGTTGTTTATGTTCGTACTGTTGTAACCGCCATCTTCGAGTTTCAACATGCGCTTTCGCGAGCAAAACATTCACGCGTCTGAAGAAAACGCCTGCACTGCAGGCTATTGAGTCGGATGCTGCAATGCGCAGCCAGTCATTATTATGTCAATGAACACAAGCATTTAACCGCATCAAACAGACACAAAATGTACTGTCTTAACCGTGATTGGTACTCCGTTAAAAAAAATTATCAAAAATTAAAAAAATTCTTGCAACAAGGTGAAATTACCAGTGACGCGGGCAGCAGGCTGCTATTTTGAACCTGGAAAACGTTGTAACAACAATAATGGAAATCTTATGCAACATATTTTATTGAAATCTGATTACGATTTAAAAATCTTTAACTTGTGAAATGACTTACTTTTAGATTGTGTTGTTGCTGGTACTGGACGGGCATCTTTTGGGTGGAACTCGCAGGATGAAGATAGATTGACAGATATATCATCAATAGCAACATCACTACCATAAAATCCTGTTCCAGCAATACCTTCAAAAATGATCTACAGAGTTAAAAAAAGATGCATATATTACATTACGAATCAGACACATCCTACAATTGGCTCTGAGCTTACAAATAATAATCTCTAAAGGACCAGAACTCGCTGGTATCGTTTATGCTAGCTGCTGCCTGTTTATTTCTCCTCAATCTTTTAGCGGAGCTCCATGCGTGCGCTTGAGCGTCGCCCCATACCCAAAAAATGTGGTAATCTGCCCATCTGAGAAATTGTGGTGATCACGTGACCGTACGTCCGCCCGTTCGTCCGCACCACAGACATATCAATGTAAAATAACTCAATCACCAGGTATGGCAACCCAAATGCAACTCGACGGAGCGGGGGAGGGGCCAGCGAAAGAGAAAAGAATTTTTCCCTCCCCCTCCTCCTTCTTTCGCCCTAGCACCTGTTCCAAGGGTTGCTATTTCTACTCTCCCGAATCATCCTCTGACATAAAACCAAAGATAGCAGCTTCAACAGTACGAACATAAACGAGCAGCTTTCGCCCGGCCAAAATACGCCTGCTTGGCAGGCTAGGCTAAAAGCGAAGCCTCCATTTATAGACTTCTATAATAAACTCTAAGCCACTAAAAAGAATCCTCCTTTTAGGGAGGGACTGGATCGGATGAGTGATTAAGAAAAAGTATCCCGCAATAACACCTAAGATGAAAACTGCCCCATCAAGCGAAAAGTCTTACGTTTACAGCAAAAAAATGTTTTAATGCCTGATTCTCTCTGGTAGTTGACAATTTACTGCTTACGATTTCTAAGGTCAATATGGAGTTTCAGAATCGACAACGGCGACAGCAGCGAAAGCGTCACTTTTAAAATGAATTCGCTTTTCGTCAAACTTTGTCCCACTTATTCCAATTTGCTGAAAATGTCAAATGAAGGCAAATCTTCCAGGGGTTGATCTCTTGGGACCGCACTCAAGTTAAGAAAGAGAAAGAAAAGGTTAAAGGTTTGTTTAAAGTGGAAAATGTAATTGACCACTCCAGAAAATACCATAACATACCATAATACTCTTTGTTTGTCACCCCAGAATTTTGCATAAGCATTGTTTTCAGTTTCTCTTGGGGCCATTTTCACTCCCAAGAGAAACTGAATACAATGCTTATGCAAAATTTGGGTTAACAAACAAAGAACATTATTGTATGTTATGGTATTTTCTGGAGTGGTCAAGTAGCTTATTCAGCTAGTTTACAGGCACTCCCCTTAAATAATTCTGGACCAAATGATGCAAATAGAACATAACAGGATTCAGAAAAACCCCAACTGGCTGGAGGCTGCACCAGTTGGCTATTTACAAGCGTGGCCAAGGATTTGAACTTGGGACGAGCAAGAACAAATCCAGCAACTGGCCAGAGCGGGACTCGAACCCGGGACCGCTGGATTGCGAGTCCGACGCGCCGACAACTCGGCCACGCTGCCTCCAAAAGAATTCGTCGTCGCTTGTTTACGTCCTCCATAAAATGTGCAATTAAGCGTTTTCACGTCGAAGTCGTGCAGTGACGACAAAAAACGTATAAAATAGCGTGATGCACGTGCAAAACTGATTTTTTTAAAATAAAAATTTTGCTTTTTTGACGCTATCGTTGCTAAAGCCCCCTAATTAAATAGGAGAGACCTAAAAGAAAAATCTGGCCGTTTGTATGCGTAATAAGTTTATTATGTTTTCCTATGTTGGGCCCTGAATGGAACAGTTATGTGTAAACAAGAGACTGCATAAGGGCTCTCGGTGTGAATTTTTTAAAAAGCGTGACCGAGTTAAAAGCACATCCTTAAAACAATACTTTTCAAAGTTTTTCGTCGAAAGTCAAACAAACAAAACTAAATATATTTACTTTAAAAACTCCATTGGCTGCCTCTAGGTAAACTGGTTCACGTTTCGCCAAGACAAACGCAAGCTACATGTCTTGCTTCCCCGCCCCCACCCCTGCAGAGTCTACTTAATACCTCCCTGCCAGTCGCTATGTACGGGTGGGCGTACGTTGACGTCTTAACCAAATTTTCTCGCATCGATAGGTTTCCATTTTCCATAGCAATGGAGGCTCCCAAACGCGCGCATGCGGAGGCTCCGCTCTAATGTCATTGCTAACCTGAATTAAAATTTTACTAACCCAGTCTCAATGAGGTGTTTTTAAGACTATGTAAATCTTTCCTCTAATAAGATAGCTTTATTCATTTTGCAGTTTTAGTTATAAACTGTAAACACATTATAATTCGTTTTTAGAAAGGCAAAATAAGATGAGATTATATTATAAATAATTGTAATTGTTATATAAAAGCTTGAGCTCCACGCGGGGAACTTGATACCCAACAAAATTTGGTAGTCTATTCATCCGAGACATTTTGGTAATCACGTGTCCGTCCGTCCGTCCGTCCGTCCGTCCGCATTGCAGGAAAACCAATGTCAAATGTCAAACTTTCCGTATCCGCTGACCAGTGTCACATGACCGTATAGCGGGCTTAGTTGCCAACTCAAGGCCGAAGGCCACGTGCTTTTTGACGTTTTCCGCTGACCAGTTGTTAGCTTTTAATTGATCGCAGGTTCAAGTTTATGTTTTTGTTTTCAGTCATATGGTTCTCTCCTAAAGTTAAGTATAGATTTGTGGATTCTTTGCAATGGTTTTAAAGTCCATTGTCTGAAGTAAATTTAAAATGCATAAACGGAAGCTTCGGCTAAATCTACATATTATTAAATAGATACAAACGTTGAAGTTTTTATAGGTGCTGTTCACAGGAAAGGCTCCTTTTTTCCATTTATAGTCTTGATCACCAATTAACTGCCAGACTACTTTCTCTCCCTCACTGTCTGACTTCAAGTAAACCAACAGCTCCCCGACAGTAGTGCCAGCCATAAAATAGTAGAATTCAACACACTTGGCAGATGCTATGGTAGGACTTTGCAAGCGTGCTTTTTGACCCTGATTGATATCCTCCCAAAACTTCAAGAAAGTGGTAGCATAGAAACCTTTATTAAAGTAAACGGTAAATATTAAAGGATTGATTGAGGTTTTTAATTGTTTGGTTTGATTGATTTCCCGTGAATGACTAAAATTAGGATGTCACATATAACCATAAGCCCTTACCACAGGGTAATGGTTCGTGTTTTAAAAAAGCAGTTTTCCTTGCTCTTAAGGTGGCCCGAACCTATTTATATGCGCGTTGGTTATGTTTTTGAATTTCGGAAGGAGTGATTTAACCGATTTCCATGATTTTTGGCGTCCTCAATAAATAATTATGGTCGAACTTTAAGAAAATGTTATTTATTTTCTTGTGGGTATAAAAACGTTTGAGATATCGGCATATGTTTAAAACCTCGTTTTTACAAGAAGGAAGGGAAAATATACAGCAACTTTGATAAATAGAAGTTATTTAATCTTGCCCCTCATTCAGCATAAAGTTGTTCTTCTTGTATTGCGAACTGTATTCGCCGTAGGTTTCTGATTACTAAATTTCTTGCAACTGAAGCTTTGGGCAAGAATACCCTTGCAAGAGAGGAGATAGTCTGTCGGCAGTTGTCCTCTATTTGTGTGTCAACTTTCACAAATGTGTTAGCGTTGCATTTTAAGGTTAAATTTGACCCGCTATTTGTGCAGCGAGTTCTACGGTCACGATTGACTTCAAACTTTTTTTTTTTTTATCTTTAATAACATTTATTCAATCGACAATCAACAATCAAAAATACTTACAAACACTACGATACTTACACTACTTACAATACAATATTTAGAATACAATAGATTAAGGTACTTACTCTGTTTACAATGTAAAGACTTACAATACTCAGTACTTACAACATTACCTACTCACTACTCACACTACAATGCACTATTTACAAGCAGTTCTAATTAGTAATTGTATTTCAAAACCAACATTTACAAAACCAAACATTCACGGTAAACGCACTTATATCTTAAGTGTCTTAAAGAGGCAGCGATTGTGAAGCAAAAGATACACCAGGTTAATGCTGGAGAAAATGAGCAGAGGATCGAGATATACAAATGTATACAAAATCAAAGGCTTACTGAAATAAGGAGCTCACATTTTCCCATTTTTTTGGTAAAATGGGACCTGCAGTGGTCTCTATGTGGTAGAATGATTTGAGGTATTGCAGGAAGCCTGCTATCTTTGGCGAGGTTTCCCTTCTTTTGCTAATCCAGATGTAATTTCTGGCTAGAAGGAAAAGGAAATTAATTTGCTGGCAGTTTTTTGAAGAATCCGGCTTTAGACCAAGTGCAACAAATATATCTAATGTGTAATGTTCCGGTGTAATGTGGAGCAAAGTCAGCTTAAGAGATAAACTATGCCAGAAAAAGGCCACTTTAGGACAAGACCAAAAAAGATGAAGAAGTTTCTCCGGTTCATTATTACAAAAAGAACAATTTGGGTTGTCTTTTACGCCAATTTTTGTTAAGAAGTCGTTCGTTGATATTCGTCTATGTAAAAATTTATATTGGAATTCAATAATTCTTGTACTTTTAGTATATTTAGCGGCCAACTGGTAGGCTTCCCGCCAATTAATCGCCTCCACATCATTTTCGTTGCAGTCTTTTAGCCATTTCTGTTGATTATGGGATGGTAACTTGCATTTTGTAGAAAGCAACTTGGTGTATACAAGTTTGCTCGCACTTTGGCATTCTGTTAATCTTACTACAAAGGTTTCATAATTGTTGCAGTTTTTGATACAGTTTGTTTTACATGTAGTCCAAAGAGATTTTAGAGCAGACACTAGTCCGAAATACTTTAAAAGACAAACTTTGAGGCTGTATTTTTGCTGCAGCTCAGCTAGTGATAAAAATTTGTTATGTTCATCTTTCAAATGTTTCACTTTCGTAACGCCTCGATCAAACCATTCACGATAGAAGACGGGGCAGTTATCGATTCTAATGAGTGAGTTGTACCATAAAGTTTGTTCAAGAAATTGTTTCTCGGACGTTATGTTTTCATCAAAATTGACTTCCGCCCAGATTGAAAGTATCTCTTTTATAAAGTTATTCTTAATCTTGAGATTCTCAATGGTATCTTTCTTGTTTAAATTACTAGTGAGGACTATTGTGCCTCCAAATCGCTCTAACTCTATATCAAAAAAATATTTCCATTTTCCCTGGTTCTCTTCATCCAGATATTTTTTAATCCATGTAGCTTTCAGGGACTTGTTAAAAGACTGTATGTCTATCATTTTAAGTCCTCCATTAGCATAATCGTTTGTTATAATGTCTCGTTTGATTTTATCTCCTTTTCCATTCCAGAGGAATGAAAAAAATAACTTGTTTACTTCTTTGATAATTTTCACATTTGTATGTAAAGGTGAGAGCACATAAACGAGCTGAGAGGCAACCAGACTTTTTAGGACCGTTATCTTTCCAACTAGGGTAAGTCTACGGTATTTCCAGCAGCTCAAAACATTCCGGACCTTATCTAGTTTTTCATTATAATTTAAAGTTGCAGTTGCTTCCGGATCATTTGAAAACCAGACACCTAAAGCTTTAACTTTACACTTCGGCCATTTAAAGTTTCTTCCGACAATTGATATTTCATCTTTGTTACAATTTGCCCCAATCCAAAAGGCTTCTGTTTTTTTGTCATTAAGTTTTAAGCCAGAGACTTCATAAAAATCGTCCAGTGTTTTGAGAGAGGCTATTAACGATTCCTTTGTTCCATCTAGTATAAGAGTTGTATCGTCTGCATACTGACTTAGTTTTATTTCTTTACCGTTTACAAAGATCCCTTTAATACTTTTATTTTCACGAATTGCCTTAGCTAAAACTTCTACTGCCAGAACAAACAGATAAGGTGAGAGGGGACAGCCTTGCCTTACACCTTTTTGGATTTCAAAAAAATCACTCGCCCAACCATTATTCAAAACGCAGCTTTCTGGGCAGCAATAGAAAAGGTTTAGCCATTTTAAGATGCTACTACCAAAACCAAAATGTTGAAAGGTTTTCCTAATGAAAGGCCATTCTATCGTGTCAAAAGCTTTTTCAAAATCTAAAAACAAAAGTAATCCTGGTATATTGTTTTCTTTAGCGTAGCAAATAACGCTATCGATAAGGCGGATGTTTTCTCCGATAAAACGACCTCTTATAAAGCCAGTCTGGTCGTAATTAATGAGATCAGGGAGGAGAGGTTTCAAGCGATTAGCAATTGATTTTGCCGCTATTTTATAGTCGCTGTTCAGGAGGGTTAGGGGTCTCCAATTCTTAATAAAGAACGGTTCTGCGTCTTTCTTAGGGATAAGTTTGATAATTCCTCTTCTCTGGGTTATTGAGAGTTTTCCAGTTTCATAAGCGTAGTTCAGTGCGCTAATTAGGGTGCTGGATACATCTTTCCAAAACACTTTGTAAAATTCGGCTGGTAGGCCGTCGGTCCCAGGGGTCTTTTCTGATTCCATATCTCTTAAAGCCTCAAGGCACTCTTTTTCAGTTAAAACTCCTTCGCACGAAGTTAATTCATGTTCGTCAATGGCTCTTTCATCACCACCCTCAAAGAAAACAGTTGTACCATCTTGGTTGTATGTGTTACCTTTGGATGAGTAGAGATTTTTATAGAACGCCACACATTCAGTTAATATTTTTTTATCCGAGGTGACAAATTCGCTATCGTTTATTTTAATTTGACTTATTGTCCCTTGCTTGTAGTGTCGTTTTTCTAAATTAAGAAAATACTTGGTGTTTTTCTCTCCTTCATTATACCATTTAGACTTAGATCTCAAAATTGCGCCTTTGGTGCGGATTTCAATTATCTTTTCAAGCTCAAGCCTGCTTTCATTCAATTGTTCCTCCAGGTGTAAGGAGTGCATTTCATCGGAGTTTTTATTATCGAGATCCGCTTCTAATCTGGCAATTGTTTGTTCCAGAAATGTTTCGCGTTGTTTAGCTTGCTTTGTTTTGCTCTTGGAGTAGCGGAGCGATTTTTCGCGCACTTTTAGCTTTATCATTTCCCAAAGAAGTGAAGGATTTACCGATTCGTCATTTTTGTACTCATCGAGTGTTTCCTGAATCGTTGTTTTAATTTGGTTTACGTAATCCAATTCAGTTAAAAAAGATGTGTTTAGTTTCCAGAAACCTGGTCCACGTAGATTTGAATGTAGTGATAAGCATAACGTAGTCATTGAGTGGTCGGTTTTATAACCTGGGACGATATCTGCGAGGGTCGTGATGTTAACTGTGCTTTGGCTTACTAGAAAAAAATCGAGCCTACAGTGTACTTTTGGATGACGTTGTCTCCAGGTAAATCTACTAGTGTCTGGGTGTAGAATCCTCCAGACGTCTACCAGATCTAGTTTCTCAGAGAATTCTTGAACAACTTTAACACTATTTTGGTGAGTTTTAGTAAGACCACCCATCTTGTCCTTCTCTAAATCCAGTACAAGGTTGTAGTCGCCTCCTATAATAATATCATCACATTTGAAATCTGCAAGGTGATCAAAGAAGTCAAGGAAGAAAGTTGGGTTGTCTTCATTAGGAGCATATATGTTCCCTAAAGTAAAACACTTTTCATTGGTTTTAATGTCGCAAATAATGAAGCGTCCTTGGGGGTCAGTGTAAGTTTTTTCTATTTGAAAATCGAAGTTGTTGTTGAAAAGGATGCATACCCCTGCTTTATTGCTCTTATAAGTACTAAAAATAGCTTGATAGCCCCATTCAGCAGACCATACGTGATTAGTATTTTCAGTGCAGTGGACTTCTTGTAGCATATATGCCGAGTAATTTTTTTTGCGAAGCCAATTAAACACCTCTCTACGCTTTGTATTGTCTCTTAATCCCCTGACGTTTAGTGATGCTATTGTCAAAGCCATAGATATTCTCTTGGGCAGCTTTGCAGAGGAAGCCTTACATCACCTGGTGTCAAAGCTCCACAATCACTGCACGGTATGATAGGAATTTGTACTAGGCGTTTACTTCTAAAACAAATGATTAAGCTATTAAAACATAGAAACCAAACAGAACATGCACAGATAAACACAACTAAATAAGAAACCTCTTCGTAAAGGGACATGGGGGGGAAGTTAGGACTTTTACCTAGAATCTTACAGACAGATAAGAAAAACCGAAGCGCCATCTGTTACGAACCTCTATTCCGATCGCCTAAATAATTATCTAGCAATTGATAATAACGGGTGGCAAATGTGGTCAAACGATACTAACGTGATCTTGGTTACCTAATGAGTAATGACATGATGAAGAAGCATTCTCACCTATCCTGGTATCTCGAGAGGTTTACCAACTGGCCAAATTTTACCTTTTATCAAGAGCTTATCCGGTTGTGCCCGACTAAAAGATGCAGGGATGTTATTTTTCCTAGCTTCTTTAAAAGTGTCCATTTGCTTTCTTCTTCTTGCTACTATTTCGTAGGGTAGATCTTGATACATTTTAAATCTGCTTCCTCGCAAACGGGAGCCCAAAGCTAGAATTTCTTCACAGTTCTTATAGCGGAGGAACCTTGCGATAATTTGCCTGGGCTTTTCTTCCTTCTTCTTTCCTAAGCGATGAACCCTCTGTATTTCAACGGTGCTTGCATCTTTGTATCCTAATTCCGTCTCGAGGAAGGTGCGAACAACTAATTCAGTGTCTTCTTTGTCTGTTTCTTGCACAATATTTTCAAAAATTATATTTTCCCGCCTCGAGTAGGCTTCCAAATAGAGATTCTTGTCTTGTACCTCTTTAAGCTTAGCTTCTAAAACAACATTTTTCTTCTGCAAATCGGTTAAAGCGAGATCTGTTTTCTCCTGGTAAAATTTTAGGCTCGCTGTCGAATTCTGCTGTTGCTTCTCAGCTTTATTTAAGCTTTCTTTCAAGTTCTCAATGTCGTGGCTGGCGGTTGTTTGCGAATATTCCAGCTTCTGTATTCTTCCTTCCAATTTTTGAAGGGACGTTTGGACTTCATTTACTGTTGTTTGGATAGCGTCTAGCTTTTCCAGCTTTCGATTTATCTCCTCCAAAGCTTTATGAAAACCTTCGGCCATGTTCAAAACCGTAAAGATTTCGTCTTCAACCTCGTGCTCCTCGACTTCTTCAGGAGAGTTTACTTCATCACTCCTCGCTTTTTTTGCTTCTGGTGAAGTGCTCGACTCCTCTGAAGAGGAACGCTCGCTTCTTTTCCTTTCCAAGATCTTTTTCAACAGTTCTTCCATTTACCACCCGGGAAAAATAGAATATGTGGCGGACGGATCAAGGACACGTCTTACGCCATTGCTACCCAGGCCCCTTTTTCCTTTTTTCTTTGACTTCAAACTTGCAGATCAGATATGAACCTAGAGTCAGAGCTTACCGAAGTTAGAGAAAAATCTGTCCTAGGGTTTTAAAATTATTGACATTTTTGTAAAAATGCCGATTTTAACATATGCCGATATATCAAACGTTTTTATACCTGTAAGAAAATAAATAACATTTTCTTAAAGTTCGACAATTCTTTATTAAGAATGCCAAAAATCATAGAAATCAGTTAATAAATCATTCCTGCCGAAAAAGCCGATTCAAAAACACAACCAACGTGCAAATAAATGGATTCGGGCCACCTTAAAGGTTATAAACTCGCATTCAATGTCTAAAGTTATTTCCTTTTATAATTAAACTTCTTTCCACAAACTTAGGTTGTATTGAATCGTAATAAAAAGATGAATATTCGTGGTTTGAAGTGGTATATGAAGTAGTAAGTTACTCAGATGAGAATGACAAAAAAAAAAAAAAAATGAGAAAGAAACAGAAGAGAGAGCACTGTGAATAAATACATGTACTTCATATGCTACTGTATCCCACTTCATACCTTTTCCAGTTGAAAATTCAGTTGTGTGATCAGTTTTAGGCCAGCGATAGCCATTTACATTCCTGCCTCCAAATGTCCAGTTAAAAAATTTTTTTTCAATAATATTTCGATATCCACACATTCCATGGCCTTTCTCAAAGTCACATGCTCCTGTTGTGTAATTCTCTATACGAACAAGAAGGATGGCAGTTTTAGTATCCTAGTGTCTACAGCTCAACTTGTACAAACAGTGTATATGGGAAAAATGTTATGCTCCAACATCCTCATACTTCTGGAGAACTGGCTAGAAAATCTTAGGATTATTTCAGCCCCAGGCCTTATTAAGTGCAAATAAATATATATATATATATATATATATTTTTTTTTTCTCTTTCATGTATGTAATTAAGTACAAGGCGAATAAAGGTATTGTCCAGTTTTGATTGAGTGGCGGCTCAAAACGTTCTAACCCTTGATGTGATAGGCATACAAAAAAGACAATCATGTTGGAGCTTGATACAAATACATGCAGAGTAAGAGTGACATACAATTTTGTAATTTATTTAGTCAGAAATTTTTGAGTTTTGATGTACCTTCTATTCTGCAAACAACTGCAACATCCTCATAGTGTCGACAGTTATGGCCTTCCCATCCATTATGAGTGCAGTTCATTAATTTAGTTTCATTTCCAAAACAAGTAACATCATCCAACCAGATAGTACCATTGCCTTGTCCAAAATAAGCATTTGAGTACCAATATTGAGCTCCTAAATGATGCCCTAACTGCTTGCAAGTTACGATAGACTCTTCCATGCCCCACCGATCATCGCAAATTGTTCCCCATTTGTTTCGATGGTAAATTTCAACACGACCTTCAGCTTTGAAGTCTGATCCCACAAGGCGGAGGTCACCATTTTGATAGGCTGCTGATAGAACTGGAAAGTCAAATTTATTAGTACATGTATGCACCATCTGATAGGTTACATACATTAACTATGGCTGTTTGCTGAATCGATCCTTCAGTCTCTTGACTATTTTCAGTGATCCGAGACCATCAAGAGGAGGAGAAGAGTGAAATTAGAAATAACTTATTTTGACCACTGGTTGATTTCACTGACAAATATGCTCACACTGTGGGTGATGACATGTTCATTGTATTGAAAACTCCAAGCACTGAAAAGTGTACAGCACAGAAAAGAATTTCCTCAATTTGCTGTTAATAAAAAATAATTTATGTCTCAGAACTTTTCAGGAATTGAAAATTTTCTGTCCTAATCAATATTGTTGAAAAAGAATAACCTATTTCATTCAAGTGGCAGTCAAGCACTCTGCGCTTCACACAGGTTTGGTTTTGGTTCTCCATTTTGTTGATGCACTGAGGCTTTAAATGCAGTCCTCTTCCTCCGGCCACCCTGTTGGGTAAACTCACTTATGCTCCGACGTTTCGGCGACCGCATGACTTTCAGAAAGACTTTATAAATATTACATAGAGGTTTTTCATTCAACAGTGACACCACTTCTTTGCCAACCAAGTTGATAGGCCCTATATGCTACTTGCAGTCACCTGACCTGATTATGCATAAATCATTGGAAGCAGCTTGATGAAAATAGATGAAAATTTTGACTGATTGCAGACAATGCAGGCAAACATTTTATGGGTTTAATTGGTAGTATCAAAATTATAATAAACATAGGGTTTAATTCCATGGCAAAAATTGCTGGACCACAAGGCTAAAAAAAAAATACAAAAAAAATTGGCAGACCTTTTTGTTTTACCCTAATTTCAATCTACTGTTATTTGTAGGGAACGTTAAGGTGGCTCAATACAGTTTTCCAGGGCCAATACCTCCCAAGTTTGAGCATAAACTACGTCGCCATAAACAAAGTTTAAAAAAAAAAATATTGCCGCCACAGTTGTATTAAATAAAGATGAAAATTTGTTGTGATCAGGGTTGCAATGACATCGGGGTTGTCATAGCAACGAAATGACGCTATTACCTATTTTACTTACAGCGGTATATATCGGCACTGGGAACTGTTCTTGCAAAATCATTCAAGGAAGCTTTTTCCTCCAATAGCGGCCTCGATGTTCGTGAAGTTTAAGCGAAATCTGTAAGAGCGTTATCAAGATATTTTGGGATAAAGATTTTGTGGTTAGAAACACAGTAAAAAATGGACAATCTCTATGTTCGGCTGTTATCTGTAGAAAACGAAGCGCTTTTGACAAGCAATTTCACCTCATAGTGTAGTTTCAATCTTTTTAAAAACGTGTGTGAAAGATCATGGAGATAGCTCCAGCCGATTGCTAGAAAGAAAGATTTGATTAGTATGCATCCAGGAGCTCTTGTTAGCAGTTTTTGAATATTTTGGTCTACTAGCAAGTAGCTTTTAAACCGCTCGATAGACTTTTTTAAAAATTTAAGATTCTTGAGATTAACCTTCCTTTTATATGACCTTTTAGTTTCAAGATTATTGATATATTGTAAGGCAGTAAAATAAGGGCTACGATTCGCTAATATTTTGGCTGAAATTTTGTGTTTACAAGTGTGAGCCTCTCATTATTCAGGGTATTGTCTCCAAGGTTCATATTTTCGTGCACAACAATAGCTAGCAGTTTTGCATATATCAAATGCATTGTTAGTTACTACTGTTCACGTGAAAATGAAACTTGGAGACAATGCCTTGAATAATATGAGAGGCTTTCTCTTATAATGACGAGACTTCCGATAAAAAAGTAGCGAATTGTAGCCGTTATTTTACTGACTTACAATGTATCAATAATCTTGAAACTAAAAGGTCATATAAAAGGAAGGTTAATCTGAAGAATCTTAAATTTTTTAAAAAATCTATCGAGCGGTTTAAAAATTATTCGCTAATTTGATAAAGAAGACCAAAATGTTTACAAAACCGCTAACAAGAGCGCTTCGATACTTACTAATCAAACCCTTCTTTCTAGCAATCGGTTGGAGCTATCTAAATGATCTTTCACACACGTTTTTAAAAAGATTGAAGCTACTATGAGGTGAAATTGCATGTCAAAAGCTCTTCTTTTTTTACAGATAATGGCCAAACAACAATATTGTCCATTTCTTACTGTGTTTCTAACCATAAAAACTTAATCCCAAAATATCTCGATAACGCTCTTACAGATTTCGATTAAACTTCCGAACATCGAGGCCGCTATTGGAGGAAAAAGCTCCCGTGAACGATTTTGGAAGAACAGTTCCCAGTGCCGATATATACCGCTGTAAGTAAAATAGGCAATAGCGTCATTTCATTGCTATGACAACTCCGATGCCATTGCAACCCTGATCATAACAAATTTTCATCTTTATCTAATACAACTGTGGTGGCAATTTTTCCAAAACTTTGTTTATGGCGACGTAGTTTATGCTCAAACTTCGGAGGTATTGACCATGGAAAACTGTATCGAGCCACCTTAACTCAATACATAAGAGTCTTAGGCCGGTTCAGGAATTCACAGCGGGCATTTGCCCAAGGCGTTAAAATCCCGTGGCTATTTGCCTTCCTTGCGGTTAGGCATATGAAAATCTGCGGTAAGATAGTTGATTACATATCCGGTCACAAGCAATTCGATGTTGCGTCTGCTATTTACAATTTTAAAAAATTCTCTTGGATCCGTTGACAGTGCCTTTATAAAAAAGCAACAGAACAAAGAACACAAACAAGATGCTGCGTTACTTATTGGGGTTAATTTATTACCATATTCGGAAATATTAGCGGGAAAAATGAAGTAATCTTGCTCTACTGCGCGCTCAAATGCAAGACGAATTTTTTCTCGTTTAATTTTCGCTTGTGCACATGCTTGCTATCTTGTGATCTGCACCGAAACAGGTAAATAATTACTATCACGGCCGCAAGGTGAGTAATAATATTGCAAATCTTTACATAAAGAAAACGTTTTAGCTATAAATGCGAGCGAACTGTTTTGTTGAAGACGTCGCACTATAAAGATGCTAATCGAGCTTGATCTTAAGGTGACTCGACCCAGTTTTTTTGCGGGGGTACCATGCTACTTTGAAGCTCTCTGGTATCCCCACCTTTACTTTTATCGTAAGTCTAACACAGAGAATGGATAACATATAGATCAATCTACAATATAACATAAAATTTTTGGCGATCGGAGTAAATGTCACGTGGTTATAATGCCACGCCCCTTTGAGGTCTGAGTCGAAAATCTGCTGTTGCCAGCATTTTTTCGTGAAAATCTCTCGGCTACACATAGTGCGCATTAGTGCCTTGCGCTGAACAGAGTTTCACCAAAATCGCAAAGACCCAATTCAAGAAATTCAGCGGTTTCCAAATTTAGGTCATAATTTATGCGAAAATGATAAGCAAACTTTACACGGATTATATCTAATAAACTATGAGATTCATCTCTGTATTTTGGGCATTCTTATAACAGATGGGTCCTTGAAAGTCAGCAAAACGCTTTAGGGTCTTGTAAATGCGCGCGATTTTTAGCAAAGCAAACATATAGAAATTATAGTTTTCGCTATTTGTTGACGTTTGTCAGCGTTTAAGAGTCAATCTCACGGAAAAAGCATTTTCTTAAAAATTCGTAGTTTTTTTTCCTTCAAATTTTTTCAGGGCCACAATTGATTAACTAACAACCCGGACTCTGAATTTCATGGTCATTGAAAAACTGTGACATTACCTTCTATAAGCCCAAACTTGAGTAAACATTGAAGATTTTTAGCGTTTTGGCTGAGTTTGTGCTTTGGGAGTTGTCTATTGTTTCCGAGTCTGTCATTATACAGCATTCTTGTCCAGCACGCGTGCAATGACCACGCTTGGCTGACTTCCGAATGCTCCCCGAGATATGATAATTTAGTATAAGAAAATAGAAGGGATTCCCGTGGCTTGCATTAAACCTATGAAAAAATGATATTTTTTTAATAGTAAGTAGATTTAGTGTGTAGCACTTCTTGATTTTTTTGCAAAGGCACAAGAAGCACGATAATTGATTAAAAATTGTGTGTTAAACCACTATGTATCACGCGATAGCCTGTCTCACTGTACCAAAATTATCATATTCGGAAGTCAGCCAAGCGCGGTCATTGCACGCGTGCTGGACAAGAATGCTGTATAATGACAGACTAGAAACAATAGACAACTCCCAAAGCACAAACTCAGTCAAAACGCTAAAAATCTTCAATGTTTACTCAAGTTTGGGCTTATAGAAAGGTAATGTCACAGTTTTTCAATGACCATGAAATTCAGAGTCCGGGTTGTTAGTTAATCAATTGTGGCCCTGAAAAAATTTGAAGGAAAAAAAACTACGAATTTTTAAGAAAATGCTTTTTTCGTGAGATTGACTCTTAAATGCTGACAAACGTCAACAAATAGCGAAAACTATAATTTCTAAATGTTTGCTTTGCTAAAAATCGCGCGCATTTACAAGGCCCTAAATTGTTTTGCTGACTTGCAAGGACCCATATGTTATAAGGATGCCCAAAATACAGAGATGAATCTCATACTTTATTAGATATAATCCGTGTAAAGTTTGCTTATCATTTTCGCATAAATTATGACCTAAATTTGGAAACCGCTGAATTTCTTGAATTGGGTCTTTGCGATTTTGGTGAAACTCTGTTCAGCGCAAGGCACTAATGCGCACTATGTGTAGCCGAGAGATTTTCACGAAAAAATGCCGGCAACAGCAGATTTTCGACTCAGACCTCAAAGGGGCGTGGCATTATAACCACGTGACATTTACTCCGATCGCCAAAAATTTTATGTTATATTGTAGATTGATCTATATGTTATCCATTCTCTGTGTTAGACTTACGATAAAAGTAAAGGTGGGGATACCAGAGAGCTTCAAAGTAGGATGGTACCCCCGCAAAAAAACTGGGTCGAGTCACCTTAATGTTCGCTGAAGCTCAGAAGTGGTTATGAGGACCAGCTCAGTCGCTAATGAAACTGTTAAACATTATGGCGTTACTATC